AATACATTGCACCATCTCGAAAGAATAGCGAGAGAAGACTCGGACGATGGAGGTGGAGACTTCCATGCGTGAAGTCACGCCAGAATCGGTAGGTGCGTGAGGCGGTTAGCCCAAAGATAATAGTGTCGTACACAAAGAGACCCATCCATATACTCGCGATGCCTTTATTTGAGTGATGAGAATGAATAATCCACTTGAAAATCTCTAACCTACGCAGTGATCTGTATAGCCTAAAGTCAGAAGGTTGACTGCGAGGGACAGCGAGAGCGTACGTTTGGCGCGATAAACCGTTGTGGCACCCAAGTTGAACCGGATAGCGTATTTGCTCTTGCCCAGCGAGAACATACTATGACAGGTGATCAGCAAAAGTACATATGGCATTTTCATGATGAGAAGCATACCCCAGTCAGTCCGGCGAGAACCACGGTCGACGCCGCGAATAGCCATAGTATACGGCGGTCCGCCGTATATAGAGCATAGATACGTAATGTCAGCATCGCTGTGAGCTATCAGGTCGAGATGAGAATCCGAGCCGAGTTTGGACGTACTGCAAACAGCGGCTTGCGAAAAGAATAGAAGGAGTTGGCGATAGAGACTGTATGATTGACAACTACAGCGCACTGACTGATCAACTCTGAGGATGAGGCTGCTAGATGAGATCAATTACCTCTGAAGCGATCAGCATATCAGCACGATTATACCAAGACCAGGTATGGAGGTACATACTTTGGCATTGAAACGACAAAAGGACGAAATCAGGACCGATATATTGCTAGCCAATGCAAAATATCGAATTGCAAGGAACATGATGCTGCTCCGAGATTTTGGGCGCAGCCAAATATATTTGACTTCTGCGTCTGGTAGAGGGTTCAGCATAACCTAGGAAGAGAGCAGAAACACGCGTACCGAGGGTGATGATGTGGTCCCAAAAGAGAATGCCTGACAAGTGTTCAAAATTAGACATGAGCACTTTGGGAGGCCAATTACGAACTCGTAGAGAGAATTTGCATTAATGAATGCACATAGCTGAATGAACGGATGTCAGGTATCGATTCAAGGAAAAGTATTATGACCACCTACTGTTCTCGGACATGGCTTTCGTTTAACTCCACCACAATTTCGCCAGCCATTCTTGGGAATAGAGTAAGGAGCGAGAAAGACTAGTTGCGACAATGTTGGGGAAAGGTTGTTCTGTCAAGCGAAGTACAAGGAGCTTAAGACACGAATGTGAAGGGATGGGTAAAAGCGATGCGACATATAACAACCCCCTGGAAGGTATTTCGATCTCTGACACAATGAAATCAACGTCAATCGTCAGTCGGCGGGCGGGCTGTTGCATCAAGGAACGTTAGCAGGCAATTTGATTCGATAGGTCCAGTATAATCCACAAGGAAGGCCGAGTGGTGGGCGCTGGCCATGGAATGTCACTGTCAGTGATAGATAGACATGGAGAGCTTATACCCCAGCAGATATGTCAGATAACTGTCAATCTATCCTCATAAGACAGTGGTCAGCTGATCTTTGCCTGTGAAAAGTTCATGAGCTCCGAGCATTCAGATGGTAGAAGGGTAGTTACTGACTAGCGAACGTTTAGACTGAAGACTGAGGATAGGTGGTTCGTCGACTAATTTTGGGTATGCCACGGTGGACAGCGGATTGGTCGATGGGAATACGACTACCTCCAGCTTCTGAATCGGTGAACTTGCCCTATGATGAAGCAATCTTGGACGGCTGTTCTACTGTAGGGCCAAAAGGCCTGCAGGGCTATTGACGACTTAGAGTGTGACAATTGGAAGTTTTCGCGCTGCCTCGTGAGAATGTAAATCCACAGTCTAGTTGAGAATTAGAGATTGCTGCAACGAGAAGAGATAACGGCACGTACTTGGGACAATTCTGAACCTTTCCTACTCCCAATATCATTGACTTTACTAGATAGCAAATGAAGATAAACGTACGTCCAGACGTGAGGCCTGAGGTTGAATGGACCGTGGACAGAATTTGAATTAGGTGACTCGGTCCTCAGACCCAGGGTCCATGGTCCACTCTCGGACTGTGTGTGCTGGGCATTTTTCCTTCCACCCGCTTTGAAGTTGCTCAATCCTTTCTGCTGCTTCGATGACACCTCACTCTCTTGACAAAACGCCCTGTCTTTATGCAGCTTTGTTTCCCACAGAAGACCCGTGAAGCTCCATTGTTTATATTTCGGAGTTCCGTAGAGTCGCGTCCGTCACGGTGAAATTGTGGAAGATTGATTATAGCCTAAGCAAGGTGAGTTTCATCATCTCGGGTTGCATACCTCTCATTGCTGACTCGACTGGGTATCCTATTCAGATACTACAAGAAGACATCGGATTTTGGATTTGCAACGCGATCTGTGCCCACAGACAGCGAAATGGGGAAACTACGCTGCACGCAGGCCCTAGCTCTGCGAAAACTTCAAGAATAGTCCACTCGTTTATAAGAGGCTCAAATAGTGCGTACCATTTACTATGAATAGCGCACCAAAACTGACGTTCAGGGCTTTCAGCAGCTCATTAGCCTATTTTCAACGCGTCATGATCACATAGGCAAAAGTTCGGAATTTGTAGCACATTCCTCAACGCATCACAACACCTACCCAGCAACCATTTTACACCCGAGGATTGCCCTCTAATGTGCCTGAGCATGCATGAACCATATAAGCGCATTGCATATGCTCACACTTTTCCTCTCAACGGTCACAAAGAATGTTCAATCTCCGCACCTCGTTGATCACCGTTGCGGTCTTGATCTCGACGGCTGCTGCTCAATCTCCTGCTTGGGGACAATGTAAGAGTGCTACGTCTGATGTAGTCGTTCTCAGCCTGATCCATGTTTCTCTAGGCGGCGGTATCGGTTGGTCCGGGCCCACAGTAAGCGTTTTTCCGTACTTAACACTGCCGCCTTCTGAACCATATTTTCTGCAGACTTGCGTTTCGGGATACGCGTGTGTCGCGTCGAACCCATACTATTCGCAATGTATCCCTGTGAGTGCTTCATGGCCTGCTTATTCTCACCACTGTTCCTAACTTCACGATATACAGGGCACAGGCTCCCCAACGACCTCGTCGGGGGGCTCAACTCCGACGACCATCACCGCCAATACAGACCTCCACTCCCTTGCCAAATCGAAGGGAAAAGTATACTTTGGCTCAGCGACAGACAACCCCGAGCTGTCTGATACAGCCTACGTGAACTATCTCAGTAACGCGAACATGTTTGGGCAGATTACACCGGGGAACGCTCTGAAATGGGTACGTTAGCCTTGTCAATTCTCCTGTTGTCGATACTGATGAGCATCCTCAAGGACGCGACAGAGCCCTCGAGAGGCAACTTTAACTTCAATAACGCTGATACTATCGTCAATCTCGCGAAGAAGAACGGGCAAATACTTCGCGGCTCGTATCACATTCCGTGCGGAGTTGCCGCTTAAGCTGACTTGGGAATAGGTCACACCTGCGCTTGGTACAGCCAGCTTCCGAGCTGGGTCTCGAGTGGTAACTTTGACTCTACAACATTGACGAGCATCCTGCAAAACCATTGCAGCACGGTGGTTGGCAAATACAAGGGAGAGATGTCAGTTAACATTACTCTACTTCGTGTACAATGACTAACGCTAGTTTTTAATAGCTGTGCGTTTCATTATCCTCAAACCTTGGGTTTACACTAAGTGCTAATACTCACGTTTACAGACAGCTGGGATGTCGTGAACGGTGAGCATCTCGGAGATCATCCTGGCCGCAACTGACCTCTTTGCAGAGGCATTCAACGAAGACGGCACTTTCCGCACTTTCGTTCTTTACAATACCTTAGGCAAATCATACATCGATATCGCACTCCAAGCGGCTCGTGCGGCTGATCCCAACACCAAGCTATACGTGCGTCCATTCACTTCCATCATCTCACTTCTGCCATGTTCATCCTTCTCGCCTCCCAGATCAACGACTACAACATCGAAGGTCTCGGCGCCAAATCCACCGGAATGTACAATCTAGTCAAAGACCTGAAATCCCGAAATATCCCTATTGATGGAATCGGCATGCAAGCGCACCTTATCGTCGGTTCCGTCCCGACTACTATCCAACAAAACATTGAACAGTTCACTTCGCTCGGTGTGGAGGTTGCTATTACGGAGTTGGATATTCGAATGGACTTGCCTGCGACTCAGGACAAACTGGAGCAGCAGCAAAAGGATTACCAGGCGGTGATTGGAGCGTGTATGGCTGTCAAAGGATGTGTTGGGGTGACGATTTGGGATTGTGAGTTGGAGTTCGGCGTTGTTCTCCGTTTGAAGGGGAAGCTTACGAAATGAATTATAGATACGGACAAGTACTCATGGATCCCATCCGTTTTTAGCGGTACGCAGAATTGACTACAGCAGTGTTCCAGCTGTTTAAATCGACATCTTTTCTACAGGTCAAGGCGCAGCGTTGCCTTGGGATGAGGTATGTTCCTTACGCTATCTCTCTTGTCCGTCTAGGCTCACACATATTGAAAGAACCTCAACCCGAAACCGGCCTATGAAGGTATCGTAGCTGGATTCCAAGGATGAATGTTCCCGATTGTGGTATTGTCGCATTGCATGTAATTGAGATACCACGCCTATCATGACGGTCATCTGCTTCCGCCGAGTTAGAATAAGCGCACATTTCAAGGCAGTGGACCAATTGAACCACTGGTTGGGATTCGGACATTTTTTGATGGTTGGATGGGTTGAGACTCACATAAGGCGTAGGTGAGAGCCCGAGCAGATCCTGCGGAAGCATGTTACCACTGTAGCTTGAAGGAAACGAGAACCAACGCAGAGGGAAGGGACAGAGATGTCAGGACCAAGTTGCAACAAGGGTTTCGGGCGATGAGCAATCCAATATTAGGAAACTGAGAAAGGATCCAGGAGTTATCGATGCGCCTCGAAGCTTGAAGCTTGAATTTTCTTAGTACTAGAACATCGGAGGAAAAAATGCACCCCGAGAGTCTGGGATGGGCCTGACCGGGAATTGAACCCGGGACCTCCTCGATTGGACTTTGATACCCTAACAAGGAATCATACTACTAGACCATCAGGCCGATATTTCCGGACTCCGGCGAAAGTCCGATAGACCGAGTGTGATACGTACGGTCGTCATATTTGCAATTGCAGGACACTGTAAAAAGTCTTGACTATAGGAAATCGGAACAGACATTGACCACCGCAGGGGTCGAACCTGCAATCTCCTGATCAAACTTTCATCGTAGTCAGACGCGATGCCATTTCGCCAGGCGGCCCGTGTTCAATACATGTCCTCGGACAAACACAAGGATATACGTCAATCGTCAGTGACGCGGTACTCAATGCTCATTCTCAACTTCCATCCTCTCCCGCAACCAATGTTCCAGACAACCTCACGGAGACACGCAAACTATTCAGCTAACCTCAATGTCGACTTGAGGTGTCGACAAAGGAAAATCCAACAGAATTTCAGTGACAGACCATGCGTACATGCTCGTTACTGCTCTCTTTCGACTTCCCTCGGCCTGTCACCTAGCCTCCTTAATCCCTCACCCCCGGCTCAGCACCATCACCATGTTAATTCATAGGCTGCAAATAGCCTTGGCTCGTCCTCATTGACATTCGTTTTGAACGCCTCGGATACACTCGACCCCCACATGTTACGCGCACCACTTCCCTATCTCAATTCCAGAACGTCGAAAAAAGCTATGTTGCGTGTAGTCTTATTGTCGATTTTGTAAAGGATGTTGGGGTCCTTTTTTACCACTGGGTCGGGGCTCAGAAACACTACAGGGATGCAAGCGCATCCGGATGTCCACAAGCTCTTTAAGTTCTACAGTTGACGCGAAGGTAGGTCGGATATTCTATTCATTCTACCTCATACTCACATTTTTAATAGCCATAGAGCTCGAGACTAGTTCTCAGGAACGCACTAAAGAGAAGAAAGAGTTGAAGTTGTCGAGAATCGCATCAAATTCGTATTTTCGTCGCAGCCTTTCGCTCAAGCGGACCACCGAGCACCTATACACCTCGTCAGTTCAGATGCGCAAAGAATGGACTTGAGGGTGGAATACGGCCTCTCCGGGGGTTTCGCTGGGTGTCGAGACCAGGCGATAGAGTTTCAAGGGCCGCTACGAATGTATTATCAGCCCAACATCAACTTTGGACACCGATGTCAACGATGGGTGATACGAGTGAAGGAGCTAGTACCAACGTATGAGGGGAACGAGAGGCACTGGGAGATGCGTCGAGTCAGCTAGAATCAGCGTCATGGAGTGACGTTGCCTTGTGTCGGTGTTAAACTCAAGCGTATCGACAAAGGAAGAGATTGGACCCCAGGGAACTTTTTCATGATCGTCACCGTCAAATTATTTCGGTCATCTCATTGGCGTCGATGGTGTCTCCTTCTATTTCGGTGTTAGGCGTTTCCAGCCGCTGCATCCTGGAGGCGACACGGCTGGCATAGATTTCACCGACCTTGTGACAGGTTCGAATGGGATATATTCAGAGTTTGAATGGATAACTAATGGTTGATCTCCTTCTCTAGGGCGTTGAATGATACATTCATGCTGTCTCTCCACTCAAGTCTTACCCAATTCAACGCTGGTGTTCACGCGGTTATTCAATAGCACACCTATTTGTTCCCAGCGCAGCCATAAACCGCGGAGGTCGCTAGGGCACCCCTACATCTTATCAATGTCAATCCCAAGAGAAGCAAAGACCGCGGTGGTGTGCCTCTTCTGGGGTACGTTTGGGTGCCGAAACGGCTCGACAGAGCTACACCAAGTCATATGCCAACGCAGGCACGTACTTGGCCTAAGAATTTGTGGCTACCCGGCACTTCGACAACATGTGGTGCTGGTTTTCGAAGGGTGAAGGAGGCTAAATTCAGTAGAACATGGTGCGACGCGATGGTATGAACTGTCATTGGTTCTCCGCACCGTGGACCTTGTGACATTTTCGAAGGAGATGTGCTCGAATTTCCATGGTAAGTCTTCCTCTCTAGATTTGTTGAGCGTTCCATTCATCTTGTCTCTTCATTCAGGTTTGATCCAATCGATTGTGATCTATATCCCGGTGTCTTCTCGACATTGCCGTTCACGCGGTTATTCAATAGCTTGCCAGTCACACAGCACTGCTTCTATCTCGTGGGTACCTCGTACCTCTTGCCATGGAAGAATTGTTGCTTTGACACGTGCTAGTCTTGTTTACCGAGCGCGAAGCTACTCAGTTCGGCTTTCTCTGTTACCAAACGGAAAAGATGCTGGTGCTTGCTGTGCAAACTGCAAGCCCCGCCTGGTCTAGTTTCTAGCTTGCCGACTTCGGGTGGTCACGTATGCGAGGTATGCAGAGACACATTAATATATCATCAGGTTTCCTGTCTGTCTTTTTACCCTGTGGGGTCTATATGTCCCGAACTTCGTTGTGATACGGGACTTTTCTATCACCGGTAAGTGTCTTAGCCTTCGGCCTGTATACCAATTGATTCAAGTGCTTATTTGCCGTGGCATCGGCCAATTACTTTTGATCTAGTTATCACCAATGCTGTCATTCGGAAAGCGGCAAGCCAGAAGAACTCATTTTTGCAGTTCTCTAGCTCAAAATAGCGAATCGATAAGCAAAGGATCACACTCGTGTTACAGACTAAGCGACAAGGGCGTATTTACCGCTTTCTGGAATAACTCTGTCCATGTCGTCTGTCGCTCGATAGGTCAGGCCTGAGCTTTGAGGAAAATATCCGAGCAGGCAAGTGGAGAGTAGCCAGGAGTATAAAGATCGTTGAGTGGCCTCCGTCAATCTTCAGGTTCTATCCTCTTCTCACAAATGCCTCAGCTTCCCAACTACGACGAAGACCAACATCAGGCTGTTAGCGCCTGGTTCCTTGGCCCTCGTGCCGAGAACTTTAGGTATCTCGAACTTGTCCTCAACACTGTTCTTCAGGAGCAGGGCAGGGCCCGAGCAGACTACTATCCAAATGATCCCCTTTTCATAACACCTGCGATGCAGGAGTCGTTCGCTTTTCAACGTGAGATTTACTTCTTGTACGTGTTCGAAGAGGCTCTGAATGCTTTCCGAATAGACCAGATCAACAAGCTCGCGTTCGGTGTCCAGAAATTCGCAGAGAACCTTTCTGATCATCATGTACCGTTTTGGAACCCTCGTTACAATGGGCATATGCTCAACGATACTACTCTGCCTGGTATTGCAGGATATCTCACGGCTATGCTCTGTAAGTACGCCTTGTCGCCTGGTAATTAATATTCTAACGAGGTGCTCCAGTCAACCCGAACAATGTCGCGGCTGAGGCTTCCCCTCTTACAACGTCGACAGAATACAAAGTGGGCCAGCAGCTCTGCAAGATGGTGGGATACAAAATCAAGAGTGAGCCTAAACCCTGGGGTCATATCACGTGTGACGGCTCTGTCGCAAACTTGGAGTCGATGTGGGCTGGTAAGTCTTTTAACATTACGTTCTGCCCATAATTCACTCGTTTCGTGGCTCCTTTCAGCTCGCAACCTCAAGTTTTACCCCCTTAGCTTGGTACTTGCGATGGAAAAAGACCAACCGCTCGACTTTATCGCAGACTCATTCAAAGTGCCCACTTGTACGGGTACCTCCAAGCTCTTGCGCGATTTCACTACATGGGAGTTGTTGAATATTGCCCCGGAGGACGTCTTGGATATCCCAACTCGCCTATACAAGCAGTATTCCTTCTCTTCTGCGTTTTTGGAGAACGCCCTCAAGCCATTCAATATTCAGTCAGCAAGCAAAGATTCCACCATGTTCGCAAAGAAATTCGGGCTCGAACGAATCAACAATATTGCTTATCTCACAAGTGCGACCAAGCACTATTCGTGGCCCAAAGGAGCTGGTGCGTTCCTTTTAGCCTTATTTCTCTATACCGATGCTCAATGTGTAACAGCTATTACTGGCATTGGCGAGAGTAATCTGATCAACGTCACAGTCGACGACGGTGCTCGAATGAAGATCCAGGCTCTGCGAGATGAACTTGACAAGTGCATCAAGGAAGAGCGGGCAGTTTACGCTATTGTAGCCATCATGGGCTCTACAGAACATGGCGCTTGTGATCCCCTGGAAGAAATCGTCGCAATACGCCGGGAGGTACGTGTCATTTTGTGTACACATTGACTATCGCTTACTTTTTTATGGCAGTACCGCGAAAAGGGCCTTAGTTTCGCCCTCCACGCAGACGCCGCCTGGGGTGGCTACTTCTGCACGACACTGCTGGACGACCAGGGAATCGGTGGCCCGGCCGAGGATCATCATTTTGTTCCCTCTATTGCACTGAAAGACTCGACCCAAAAAGGTCTCCGTTGTCTCAGTGTCTGTGACTCTGTGACGGTGGACCCCCACAAAAGCGGATACATTCAGTATCCTGCTGGTGGTCTTTTGTATCGGGACGAGAGGATGCGATACCTGGTGTCGTGGACCAGCCCAGTCGTAAATAGAAGCGGTGAAAAAAACATGGGCGTGTATGGTGTTGAAGGAAGGTGAGAAAGATCGCTCTAGAGATCAACATGTGTTCTGAAAATGTCATAGCAAACCCGGTGCGGCACCCGTCGCTGCCTTCCTGTCGCATGAAGTCATCGGGCTAAATCCCAAAGGGTACGGTGCACTACTCGGCGAGGCAGTATTTGGATGCGCCATAGTATGTGCCTCTTACTCGTCTCTGCTGACCATGTCTCATCTGTGTTTTGAATGAATAGATGTATGCGCACCTTGTCACCATGTCCACAGATGATTCGAATTTCATTGTTACGCCGTTGAACCTCCTACCTGCGGAACTAAAAGGGAAGGACGTCGAAGACCAGAAGAAATACATCCGTAAACATATCCTCGGTGTTCGAAACGAGGATCTCGTCCAAGACGAAGAAGCAATGTATCTTGTCAAGGAAATGGGATCAGATCTCTCAATCAACGCATTTGCTGTCAACTTTAAACTTGATGGCAAGCCCAATGACGATGTCATCTTGGCCAACGACCTCAACCGACGAATCTTTGAGCGACTCTCCGTCGTATCCCCCGAGGACGGTCCCAAGGACAAGCCACTCTTCCTCACTTCGACAAAGTTCTCCTATAAAAATTATGGAGATTGTTTAAAGACGTACAAACGTCGACTAGGGTTGGCCCAAGACACGGAACAAGACCTCTATTCCCTCATCAATGTCGTCATGTCTCCATTTCCCACTACACTCGATTTCACCAAGACTATCATCGAGGATCTACAAACCGTTATCGAAGAAGAGGTTGCAAC